CTCTGACTCCATCTCAGCAGACTTTCTGAGGATTATCTGAGATTATGTGTGCAAAAGAACCACTGCATTCCCTGGCATATAATGAACACTAACTAGTATTTTGTGCTTCACTTTCATTTTCCCTTTCTCAAATGTAGGACCCAAGGATGCATGTACATTTCTGTATTTGGTTTGAAAATTTCCCAATAGATGAGTGAGAGCTGGCTTGTCAGCACTTACTGTCTGGGGGATCTTGGATAATTTTTGGAGTTGGTATTTACAAAAATGCGATGTAGTTTTAGACCTGATTATTAAAAATATAGTGCCTGTACTATAGGATATAAAAATCTCTTCCTGTTTGGACTGGTCAGACCATATGAGGAGTGTGTTGTGTTCAGTTCTAGTACTACACAGGTTAGGTAAGCTTTTAAGGGCCACACTGCTCATGTTTGAGGCCTGGCTCTGCTACTTAAAAGTTCTGTGCCTCTAATACACAACTCTGTTTCCTATCTGTAATAAGGGAGGTAATAAAGGTACCTACCTCCTAGGGTTGTTGTCAGGAATAAATGAATTATTAGGCATAAACCACTTAGATTAACGTCGGGCAAACAGTAAGTTGTATGTGAGTGTTAGCTGTTTTGGAAGGGACTTCAGAGGAAATCCACAAGGATGGTGGGCCGTGCGGGAGCCATGTTGTGGGAGAAACAGTTGAAGCAGTTAGAGATGTTTAACCTGAGAAAGAAGTACTGAAAGCCCTTTACCATTTAAAGAGAAATTGTATGGAAGAAGGGATAGACTCATGTAACTGAAAAAGGGTGCAACTTGGATCAATGGGTAGAAATTATAAAGAGCCTGATTTTATTTTAATGAAAGGCTTTGTAACAAGGAGAGCTGTTCAAAATTGCAGTGAATGGCTTTTCGAACTAATGAGCTTTCCATCTCACAGAGGCTTATTAGAAGGCTGGGGAGAGGTTCCTGACCTGGCTGGCAAGGTGAGCTAGATGACAGGTGTTCTTTTATACCTGGCTCTCAGTTCAGGTCAAGTGACTGGCTTAAAGTAAGATAATTCCACATTGAAATTTGCTGTAGGTAGCAGGCATGGATACTTTCTCCCTAGACTTCTAGTCTGCTTTTATGGTGTATTGTTCATTTGTGATGCCAATATTTATTGTGGGAGACATTTCATTTCTGGTCTCATTTTGCAGAAAAGAAAACAGAGGTCAGGGATACTGTCTGCTATTGCTTGACACCATGGAGTCCCTGAAGGAACCCAGGGAATTATGGTTCATTATTGTTGGGAGGGCCATTCTCCTTGGGAGTGCTGTTTCTGAAGTTCTTCTGAGCAAAGCACCGAGTGCCCTTTGTTTAAGACGGTCTTGTCAAGGATATGTATTTGGATGTTTGGAAGATAGAGATGATTTCTCCCTGTAGAAGAATGGGCAGGCATGTGTCCTGTCCAGTATAAAAGATGGAGTTTTCCATGTTCGGGTTCCTCTTTAGTCACTCACAGCGTGTACAGGCATAAAGTTGGGTCAAGTTGCCTAACCCTTCTGGGACTTGGGGCCAAGGTGGGGGGCTACTGCAGATATGCCGGTGCCCTTGCTTCGTGCTGTGCTGTGAGTAACAAAGTCCTTTGTTTCTGACCCACGAGTTTTGTGTCTTCTAGCAGCATCCATGAAACTCTGGCAGGCTAACTTGTTAGCTCGTGAGTAGGATACAAATCTCAGACTCTTAATTCTTGACGTTGAGGAGTAAGTTGAGTCAGAGAGGTTAAATCTCATGCCCAGTGCCAATGATCTAGCGTTTGGGGGTGTGATAGAATTTGAATCTGTGTCTCCAAAGGACGTCCTTTGCATGACGTTGTGGAACGCTGCTGTTGCCCTTGCGGCTCTGACTGCTAGAGCAGTCTGCACCAACCACCGCCATTTGTTGAGTGCTGATGATCTCCCAGGCCTTGTTGGAGCTCCTTTAATTCTCACCCACGGCCCTATAAGGAAGGTATCCGTATTCTCTCCATTTTGTAGATGAGCAAAATGAGATGGGGGCGCCTGGGTGGCTCAGTCGGTTAAGCGTCTGCCTTCGGCCCAAGTCATTATCTCAGGGTCCTGGGATCGAGTCCTGCATTGGGCTCCCTGCCCAGCAGGGAGTCTGCTTTTCTCTCTCTCTGCTCATGCTCTCTCTCTGTCTCTCTCTGAAATAAATAAATAAATAACTAAATAAAATCTTTTTAAAAAATGCGATGCCATGACCAAGGTCATATTGGTACTAAGTGGTGGAGTCAGGATTCAAAACGCAGAGGGAGGATGCTAACAGGATCACTCCTAAGGGCTGTCAGGAGGATTCAGCATACATTCTATAGAGTGCACAGCACTGCTGGTTTCTGGCAGCTGTGGTAAGCCTCTCTAAATATTTGTGGCTATTTTTGTTATTAGTAACCTTGTTGCCTTCCTTTTCTCTAATTAAAAAAAAAAAACGGATGGTTTTGTTTTCTATTTCCAACTAAAAGCAAACTCGTTCAGCGCAGTTTACATTAAGAGGATGAAATTAAAGGGGCACAAACCTGGCATGGGCTCTTTCCTTATACAAATATTTTCTCTAAAAATGAAAATAGGAGCTAAAACTCCCTATAGGCCCAATTTACCCTCTAATCTTCATTTTAGTAACCCTTTCTATTTCATAAATAACTACTAATGCGGCAGTAATGTGTTACAGTGACAGCTGATGCCCGAGAAGCTGTCCTCTCTGGGCCTGACATTTTCTTTAATGGTAATTCTCCTAGTTAATGTAAACAACGTGAAATGTTTGGCATGTTTCCTTCCACAAACGGCGGTGGAGAGGAAATCCAAGCATTGTAAAGACGGCAGACTGATCCGGTGTAGCTTTGACAAATCCGTGGCTGTTTGCTGTTAGAAGGGGAAATCGGAGGTAAATACCTGGGAACTCTTCCCTTTGGGACAGTTGATAAATTGGAGGCATTTTCTGATTGTGCTTTACTTTAGATTAACAGCCTGGAAGGCTTCAGATTTAAAGAGCAAAGTTATGTATCATAGAAACAATAGGAAGGCATGCTTAGCTCCCTGTACCCAAATACTGCAAGTGATCATTGGTAGCTCCATCTTTGAAACCATATTCCTCCTAGGTTCTCCACTCTGATTTATTTTATTAGCCACATACTTGTGCAGTATTTTCTATCAGAAAGTAATCTTGGAGGTAGTTCGTCTGATGTCGGATCACCAGTTGACAGAGGAGGACACAGGATCTGGCACGATAAAGGCCTTCCTTCAAGTCTCGGGGTTCCTAGTGTGTTGCCTTCCTGAGTGTACCCCACAACTCTTAGATGCTTTGCACTTTCCTTCATTATATTTCTTGTCCTGTCCCCCCACCCCCCCACCATTTCCTGCTAGAACTGATCTCTTGGCATCCCTAACACATTTATGAAATTCTTTTTAGAGATTAGATTGATGTCAAAGACTGGCCTGCTGAATCTCCCCCTAAATTGAGAAGGAAGTTTTATATATCATGTAGCTCATGAATTAAGATCTCTTGCTCTAAATGACAGTTGGGGAAAAAACTGTTATACAGTATTTTGCTTGTGAATATCTGGAAGTAGATATGTGATTGATTCACTGATAGACCATCTCTGAAAGCAGTTCTAATGATGGACTTATAATTGATTGCATCCATCATCGAAAGCCTAAACTACCCCCTCCCTAAATTAAAGATAAATGAAATAAGCTATGCTGAATGTATATAAGCTGACAAATCTGAGGGAATTTAATGAAACTCTAAATTACTGCAGCCAACAGATAAGAGAAAAAGGTTTCTTTGTTACCGGTTAGAACACTAAAAAAAAAAAAAAATCCAAAAAAGATAATAAAAGAAACAAAGATCTGTGGCCCATGTATCAAACTAAGTTATTGAAAGACTTTTTTTTTTTTTTTAAGATTTTATTTATTTGACAGAGAGACAGCAAGAGCGGGAACACAGCAGGGGGAGTGGGAGAGGGAGAAGCAGACTCCCTGCTGAGCAGGGAGCCCGATGTGGGGCTCGATCCCAGGACCCGGGATCATGACCTGAGCCAAAGGCAGACGCTTAACGACTGAGCCACCCAGGTGCCCCTTGAAAGACTTCTAATAAGTGTATCTGTCTCATTCCCTGATTATTGTTGACTCATATCAATCTTGTTAGTGCTCTTGGATGAATAGTAAAAGTAGGGATTGTCTTGCAGTAAAGCTTATATTATTGCTGTTGTGACATTTTAGAATTGATGTGACCTTATTTCCAGGCCGCTGGGGGCTCTGTACCAAATTTAGTTCATTTAAATGAGCTATTTGGAATGCAGTTCCTTATGTATAAGTAATTTTATCAGTTAGTACGCTTTTAGCTTTATATAAAAGACCAACTGAGGGTGACTTAAACAGTGGGTATTTGTGATCACCCCTAATGAGAAGTCCTGAGGGAAAGCAGCAGGGTTGGCCTCTTTGGGGGCCCAATGATTTCAATGCAGTAGCTTGGCATTTCTCTTGGCTTTCCCTTCCAGGATTGTAAGGTGGGTGAAATATTTGAGTATCTTAGCTTTGTTTAACAATACCCAGTGTCGGGGGGTGTGGAGGGAACAAAAACCCAATATCCAGCTTCCTGTTAATCTTGCAAGAAGACTACTCCTAGAAGTCTTTAGGTCTCGTTGGTCAGACTTACCACTGATAAGGTGAATGGAATTCCTGGGATTCACTCAAGCAAGTCAGGACCTGCCCAGACTCCGCACAGTTCACGCTGCCTGCTATCTAAGATTCGTGTGCCAAGGAAAGAGCGGAGGGAAAGGCTCCTTGGATAGGCAACCGACACAAATCACTTACATGGGCTCTTGCAGTTTACTAGGAAGGTGGCTTCAGTATTTTCTGTTAGTCACTTGTTTCATTTCCTCCCTACTTAGTGAGGTGAATGTGCTCGTGTATTAACTCCTCTTTTACTTTTTTGCTTTTAAATTTGATTAAGCTTGATACAGTCTCTGTCTTCACCAGGACCCTGTCTACCAGTGATGATGTGGAAGATCGGGAGAATGAGAAGGGGCGCCTCGAAGAAGCCTATGAGAAGTGCGACCATGACCTGGATGAGTTGATTGTGCAGCACTACACGGAATTGACGACAGCCATTCGCACGTACCAGAGCATCACAGAGCGCATTACCAACTCCCGAAATAAAATAAAGCAGGTGGGCCTCCCTTTCCTCTTGTGGTTGTGGTTGCCGTTAGGCCAAGGGTTTGTAGCGTGTAGAGGTGCCATGATAGTGGCGACTGGCCTTAGGAGGGACTCATAATGACACTTTCTGGGGATTTTGCAGTGTCTGGAAAGCCTGGCTGAACAGGATCACGGAGGGCATCGTAGGCTTGCCTCCTCCCTGTGTCTTATCCTTGGCTTCTGTCTTATCCTTCACTTCTCGTAGCGGTGTGAAAGGATGTGGGGGTGGTGGCCCCAACGTGAGGACATTGGAAAGGGGAGTTGTTCTAAGACTCCAGGGCCTCTTACTATTAGAGGCTCCCATTTCCGTGTATCCAGTGTATTTCATATGCTCCTGTCACACATTGTGCACGTGTGTGTGTCTCTGTGTGTGTGTATTGCTGTAACAGTTGAAACATTTTTTGAAATTTCAGCTGTGAGTATGTCCCCTCGTTGAAGTTGGCTGTGGCTTCTCTGTAGTGATTAGACATTCTAGGTATGATCTTGACAAGGAAATCCAACTTACAAATTACCGAAACATCTATTTATGAATACTGAAATTCTTGAATGCCCTTCCTTAGTTGTGACAAGCATGCAGTAACTTCTGTTTTGTTATTTTCCTATATTTTGCAGCGATTTCTTGTTCATTCTTTATTTCCTCCTCTCTTTCTGCTTCTTGCCCGCTTTCTCTTCCTGCCCACCTCCTTTTGTAGTGGATCCTTGAAAAGTTCTTGGTTCCTGGCTACCATGTTTTTACTGCCTAAAGGACAAAGTAGGTTCATAAGGGGTATTTTTGTATTTGGTGAAGGGATGAACTGACCGTTGGAGGCCGTCGCATCATAGTCCTGGGGTCTCTGGCTGTGTGTTTGGAAGATCAGTCCTTTAATTCCTTTTCGTACCACTCTGCTAACAGTAATTGCTACCACTTAGCACTGCTTCTTTGCCAGGCACGACCGTTCCTCACTCAACAGATTTAGGATTTTGATGCTAGTGTCCCTAACTCTAAGCTCCTCGCTGCGGGTTTTCAGACCTATTTTAGGCAGTAACCGCCCTTCTGAAAATGAGCTATCTCCCCGACGTCCTAGTTGCGTCTTGTGTGGGGTTGGGGTGAGAGATGCAGAGCCTCATGCTTGGTCCCCTCCTTGAAACTCTGCAGCTGCTCCTCCAGCACCTCTGTGTGGCCACGGGGCTGCACAGACCATTAGAAATGTGCTGGCTGTGCTGTTGATTGGGAACTCCCTGGACTGCACCTGCGCAGTGATAGCTATGCTCACAGCTTTCCCACGTGTTCTGTTGTCTGTCTTCTAGACCTTACCTTACAATTTTCTAAGCAGATACTTAAATTATTCTTCGAAAAAATGCTATTGACACATGAGTTTCAGCCTCTAAGAGGACCGTTTGAGAATCAGCAAGCTCTTAACCTTTTTTGAAGCAATTTGATGACCTCTTTACATTGTAAAATTAACTGGGCATTTTCAAAAGGAATACTATAATTCTTCGCCTTTACAATTGGTGAGTTCATCCTGTGGATTTATCTGTGAAACTAGGTAAAGCTAGAGATCAGTTCAGAGTCAACTGTAGTCCATTTTGACCCAATATACTAAGCTCAGGAGGAGTCAGAAAATGAATGTCTACTGCTGCTGACCTGGCTTTGCCCCGGGTAATCACAGAAAGGGTGAAGGTTTGGTATTTCTCTTTTCTGATTAGTCCGCTTGGCTGAAAGGACTTTGTCCTGATGTCAAGGGAAGCCTGTAGTGGTTTCTGCCTTGACTCCCTATCACTTGGAGTCGATAGCCTCTTTGCCCAGAGAGAGTTGGCTGGTATTGAAAAAGAGTCTCCTCTTGATGATTTCACATTTGTTTTAGCAGCCACAGTCTGTTCGCTGTCCTCATTTTTAATTACGCTAGAATTTTGAGCAAAAGAAAACAAAAAGAAAACTTTGTGTTTATTACATCAGACAGTTGTCAAAGTCAGTCTCACCTAATTCTATTATGAATTAGCTCAATATTGGGAAGAGAAAGGGCTAACGCTCCTTTCAAAAAAGCCTCTAATAATTGATAAATGGGAGAAGAAAAATGTTGGAAAAATGAAAGTGAATTTGTTTTTATTGTATAAATTGACAGTTTTGTACTGTGAAAGGCCATTTCTTATCACCAGAGAAACACTGATGTTTTCTTACTAGTCTTTCCCTGTCATTTTTGGTTTTTAATTGCGCTTTGGATTATATACAAAATATAGGTGTGTATAGTTATGCATATTTTAAAATAGAAGTGGGGATGATTGAATCATCATGGGGCTATATTATTTCACATCCAGCAAGATAGTGAGAATGTGCAGATGTGAGTTGAAATCTTCTTTCTGCTCTCTGCCAAAAGAATGTAATGAGGATTCATTCAACAAATATCTGTGGAGTGCTAGCCATGTGCCTGGTTCTGTTTTCATTGCTGGGGTTGTACCCACGGAAAACACCTATCCCTGTCCTCATGGAACTGATGTAAACAAAGTAGGTGATATTTAACCACACGGATTGAGTCTCTGTGTGAAGTGTCTGTTTTGTGCTGAGCATTGCTCGAGGTTCTGGGGTATGGAAGTGAATAAAACAAATTCCTGGCCTTGTGGAGTTTACATTCTGGTTTATATTCTAGTCAAGGGAAACCCACTATAAATTAGTACAATGTGGTGTAACAGATGGTAAGAAGTGCTCTGCTTTCCAAACCAAAAGCAAGGAAGGGAGAATTGCGAGTTGCTGCTTAAATGGATTGTTCAGGGAAGGCTTGACTGAGGTAACGTTTGAACCAACACTTGAAGGAAGTGAGGGAGAGTCAAGAGAAGCTCCTTAGGAAGAAGGAATGGCAGGTGCAGAAAGGTCCTGAAGCAAGAACATGACTAGAATTTGGGGGATGCAGCGAGGAGGCCAGTGGGGCTGGAGCAAAATGGGATGGGGAGAGGGGAGAGTGGCTGGAGAGACAGAGAGCTGGTGGATGAGGTGCAGTGTGGTGGGTCAGGTCACATGGGGTTTTGGTGACTGTAAGGACTTGTTTCATAACTCGAGTATGGTGGGAATCCATTGTAATAAACTTTTGAACACAAGAATGGCATGATACAACATTTTAAAAGGGCTAATCTAGCTGCTATACTGAGTAGATTTTAGTGGGGACCAAGGCAGATGAAGACGTTCATATTCATGCTTTTAGAGCTTGAGAACACAGAACTGTTGACATTTCCCATTATGATAATAGTTTCATATATGGATTTACATTGGTAGAATCTAAGTCCTTGAGGATAATGAGATGACAGATAAGAGTTGACTCTTTTCCCAGATAGTCAGGTCTATTGGGAATTTTTTTCTAGATTAAAAAAAAGACATGTAAATAAAAGTGTGTATGATTGATCAGGTCAAGTAATGTGGATAATCAGAATACTTAGGCTATCCTATTACTGTTGAATGCATATTGGTATCAGTCAGAATGCCATGTTACTGCACTAGAAAACCTCAGAATCCATAGGTTCTGCCAGTCTCCTAATAATGACTGTTATAGCAGCACCACCAAAATAGATGGATATGAATGGGTACAAGCTGGGGACTTGGGTGGCACAGGTCATACTTGCTGGTCTTTGAATTGGAGTGTTTGCTCTGTGCTGTAGGGGGTGGATGAGAGGACATCAGATTTCTTTAAAGACACTAAGTATCTGTCTCATGTTTATCCCAGGAGCTGGTAGGCTGAAGGGAAAACATACTTGTCTCTGTTGTGAATGTGCACACTTTACATTTCACCCCAGTTTCAGCTGCCCCGTTGTACTAGATCAAGCCTATAACTCATTTTTCTTGGCTGTAATTAGAAATAACTATATGTGATTATTCAAATGAAGTTGTTAAGGGCTTAATCCTTGAGTAGTGCAACATTCATTACTTAACATTTAAAATAATTTTGTGGCTTTTATATGAAAATATACCTTGAGAGACAGAATAAGAACAAAGAGTAACCTTAATACAAAAAAAAAATGTCACAGTAGAGCAATATGGGTGTGGTAGGAAATTATTTACAGCCCATATGTAAGATGGAAAAATCCTGGCTGCTTCTATGAGAAAGGGAGAAAAGCCTAGAAAGGGACATGCTAAACAATGGGCAATAACGTAATAGCATAATTTAAAATCTAGGCAGTAGAGTGCATGAAGGCAGTCACAAGAACTATGAGGTAGTGTTTCCATTAAATTTAACTGTATCCACATTTGTGTACTATATGCAACTTAAAGGAGAAGTACTGCCCTTGGAAGGGGTTCAGTGGAGCCTCTCAGACAATTTAAGACCTTAGAATGACAGCTAAAAAAACAAAAACAAAACAAAAACAAAACGAAGGCAACAAAAGCATGGGAATAAGTTTGAGGGTAATTTAAAAGTGATCGGTCGTTCTAAAGGGCTTTAAAACAGAACAGCGAGTAGTGTTTCTGCACATCATTCCTTCCAAGCACTTTGTATAAGACTTTGGAAAAAAATGGGTTTCGACACATGTCAGGAGAATACCCATGAACATGTTTGTATGTAGATTTATTTTTAACTACAGAAGAGAAAATAAATTTTGTGCTTTTAGAATTAAGAATAACGTTGACTGTTATGTTAATTTCATTTATCATCCCTTGCTTGTGGGGAACTTTGTAGACTATTTCTAGTCTGTAGTTTCAGTGGGGTGCTTGCCTATCTGTTGTGCTTTATTACAGATACTATGCACACCCAAAGGCATTCCCTCTCCCCATTATCCTTGAACAAAATCAGAAAAGCTTTGAATTTGATGACGTGAAGGCTGTATCCATCAGCCTCTCTTACATATATCTGTTCCTCTTTTCACAAATGCAACCAACGTTGTTACGCGGAGACCCTGGGTAGTTTTCCTCTCTTTATCGTCCCCAAGGCAGGGTTGCGGATAGCTCTGTTTCTGTGCTTTCTGTATCATCTCGCATACCCACTCACAATAACCTCTTGGGGCCTGTTAACCTTA